TTTCCTGTTCGCTTTTGTACTATTCCAGCGGGGATATAAGGTGACACTTAAAGTCCTTGCAAGCCGGCGGCCCTGCAGTGAGTTCAGGAAGGTTTCTGGTTTCATTGCAGGAGCAACACTTGATTTAACCTATTTTCTGGACTATGTAGGAGCCTTTTTTACTGCTGTTCTGTGCTAGTTCCCTGATATCCCAGCAAGAAATAAGAATAATCGCTGTTACTAATGTAACAATTTTACGACAGTTATTACAGGTGGCTAATTTCACATTTATACAAGTTTTAGCACATATAGTTTCTTGCTAGGATAGATGGCTGCCACCTTAGTCTGCCTTTGAAACTGGCCCTAAGTGGAAATAATGGGAACCTAGTGTGCCTGTGAGGGTTTCTCCCGTTATTATTTAACGGGTGTAGGTTTCTGCAAGGAGACGGGCACCGTGCGCGTATGCCATCTCTTAGCGTAGCTCGGCTGGGGAGTTCCCAGGGAAGGCACGCAGTAGAAAAAAGACCAGAAGATAGGCAAGAACAGGCAAACAGAGCAAGAAGGGGCCTAACAAATGAGTTCACTTCTTGGACTTTTCTCCTCCTTCCCTTCTGTCAAGGAGATTTTCTTCCCGCTGGAAGAAACCACTGTGGGTTTTGCTGGCCAGGTGAGCGGGGGTCAGTCCTCGGGGTCTGTATCCACAGGCGATGGACGTGACCTGCCGCTCTCTGGGGCCTGACAATAAGAGGCGGAATACGTTTTCATTCTCCCTAGGCGGTTTGCTCTACAGTAAATGAGGAACAAAGTTTGGATGCAGGGTTTCCAGGTCTATTTATGAGCAAGTCATGGCTAACTGTTTCATCTACAGATTCATTACCAAGTAACTTCCCATCCGACAAGATCTATCCCGTATAATTTAACAGTTTAACAGCATTGTCAGAAGCCTTTATTGCGACAAGAATGAATTTTACTGCCTTTTTTTTTTTTTTTTTTAATTCTTCCTATACCCAGATTTTAGAAGACATCTGGGAAATTAGGAAGGACAAAGAGATTTTAAAGGAAATTCTGCCTGCCTTGTTTTTCAGAAGCATGGAAACGGAAAACAAATCCTGGCAGGATCAGCTCCTGCAGGTCCCGAAGCAATCCGGTGGCATTTTGGTTTTAATCTTCTGTAGACAATTCTGACCTTCAGTAAATCATGATCCTGTTATTCCTCACTCAGATCTTAACTAATCATATCCTATTATGACTTCTTACAGAGTTTAAGTCTATCAGCAAATCCCAAATAAACAATGTAAATCAATGTGGGCCTTGGGATTTCTTTATTTTTCTGTTTCATGATTCTTTAATGCCCGCATGTTCTTTTTTTGGTTGAAAACCATCCTAGGTGTACAGGCATTTGGCAAATTCCTGTGAGCGTGGCCCAGCGCAGGGAGCGTGACGAGGACCGCGCAGCAACTCTGCCGGTGCGATGGGCAGGAGCGCGGTCTGCAAGTTAGGGGAGAGGGGCAAAGTGGTGACCCTGGCAGCAGTTTGGAGGAACAAAAGCTGGCGATGGGGAACAGCAGAAACTGCTGAAAACATGATTTAGAGGAAGAAGCTGGCTCCCAGTGACATAAATGCAAGTACCTTATCTTGTTCTGAGCCAGCATGGACCAAATCTTAACACAGACTGGTCTCCAAGGGAGTCATCCCCAGTTAACCCAGCATGGGCGCAATGCTCCAGGAAGGCAACCAGTCCGGGCGGTAAAGCAGTGTAATGGGCACACTCACCGGGCCCTGGTACCTTCGTCTTCGGGGGAACTTTGCATTTCATGTTCTTCATTTGTAAGACCAATGTCAGGTTACCCGTAACTAATATATTTAGAGTCTGTTTAACAGTTAAGAAAACAGTCTGGAGTAGGTATGAAGTGTCGTGCTAAAGAAGCCTTCCTTACAAGTCAGGTATCCTTCTGTGTATCTACTCTGGGCCACTGGGAACCTGATGGGTGAGTATCATATGAGGTAATTTCTCAATTTAAATTGGTCTTTTGGTGGTCTAAATTCTGCATCCCAGCAGTGGTACTGAAATTACAGAAGCCACGGCTAGACAAGGAATTTAAAACCTGGCCTCTCGTATTGTAGAACAAAGCACTTAATTCATAATTTATAGTTACTTTCACATTCCCAGGCCCTAAATTAATGCTGTAATACTTGAATTGCAAATATTGAAGGGAGAGGTTTACTTATTTTATGAGATTGTTTCCATTGGTGTTATTTTTAAATTCATGGAAATGTTCCTATTAGACTCTTCAATTTTATTAAAGCTTGTTTTTGCACCACACAAATGCAGGGACACATTTAACTTGACAGTAGTATTCCTTTAAACTAGTGGATTTTTCCATCCACTTACTTAAAAATATTTTTCTTCTGTATGTAATGCTTTATTTTGCACAAGGATGCAATTAAGACAATTTAATTCTTCAGATGCATAGCAAGGCCTCTTATTCTCTCTTAGGATAGCCAAAAGGTCTTAAAATGTTCATTCTGCTTTGGCTAATTTGGGAGCAAATGTTATTTATTTAAATCTCACTCGTAGACAAGCCTGTGACTTGAGTATCGTTCAGGAGTGAGGCAACACAGCGAGCGCATTTCCCCATCTCTCCCTCCGCCTCAGCCCCCTTCTGCCACCGGTTTGGGTGACGACAGGGCCTTGCGCAGGGGCTCCTGTCCTGCCTGCCCACCGCGTCCCCAGGGCTGGTGCATGGGGCCGGTTGACGGGCAAGGGCAGCCCCAGCAAGGGCTCGTCCCTCTGCCACTGCTCATCGCTTGTGGCGAGGTGGGTGACCACTCCAGGCTTCGGGCTAGCGCCTGGGTTCTGGGGCAAAGGGTGGCCAGCAGCAACTGCTCTCTGATCCTAGAACCATTGAGTGGTTTGGTTGGAAGGGACCTTAAAACCCACCTGGTTCCAACCCCCTGCCATGGGCAGGGACACCTCCCACCAGACCAGGTTGCTCCATCCAACCTGGCCTTGAACACTTCCAGGGATGGGGCAGCCACAACTTCTCTGGGCAACCTCTGCCACTGCCTCACCACCCTCACCGGGAAGAATTTCTTCCTCCTATCTCATCTACATCTTCCCTCTTCCAGTTTAAAGCCATTGCCCCTTGTCCTGTCACTCCCTGCCCTTGTCAAAAGTCCCTCCCCACCTTTCCTGTCGGCCCCTTTAGGTACTGGAAGGCTGCTGTAAGGTCTGCCCGGAGCCTTCTCTTCTCCAGGCTGAACAACCCCAACTCTCTCAGCCTGTCCTCACAGCAGAGGTGCTCCAGCCCTCGGATCATCTTCGTGGCCTCCTCTGGACTCGCTCCAACAGGTCCATGTCCTTCTTGTGCTGAGGACCCCCGAGCTGAAGGCAGTACTGCAGGGGGGGTCTCACCAGAGCAGAATAGAGGGGGTTTATGTTTCTTAACCGACATTGAAAAAGCCTTTCTAGTGAAAATGGCGTTATTGCTATCTACTCTTTTGTGGCAGTGTTTAGGAACCTGAGATAGGAAAGCATAAAGGTGGTCCCTGCTGGACCTTCCACTGAAACAGATGGCTTAACTTCTAGTCCTTGGAAAAAGTAGTCATTGGTTTTCTTCCTTGGTCTGTGAAGGAGCCTTTGAGATCCCATTTAATTCTCCTAGAAGTGGTAAGCCGGCTTTATAAAAGCTGTTTTGTACTCCGCAAGTACAGGTGGACTCAGCATAGCAACAGGCAAGGTCTAAGAGCAGTACTTCCCACCTGTAGAAAGCAGCAGGGGTGATCACAAAGGAGGAGCCACTCGGGGCAGAACCATGTCAAGGAGGTTTTACACGGCATTGAAGAGTGGCTGGAGTGTAGAGTAAAATGAAAATGCAGTCGTCTTTGAGCTGCTTCTCCCAGATGATGCGTGGGGAAATTGCCATCTTGAGTCGTGTATTGTAACGGTCATTGATCTACGGAATAAAGCGTTCTGCAAAAGCCTGGAAAAACTGTATTTGAAGAACATAAGAGGCACGTTCATCTGATGCGAAATGTGGTCATGCGGCCAATTTTGTATCTTACTGGAAATAAAAGCAGTCTCTGAGAGCTAATCTGTTTATAAGCTTCCATATTCTCCATAGCCATAGACTAATATCAAGGCATGGCAGAAGTAGAGCTGAAAAGGCTGTTCCTAAAAGCTTTGTGTATTTGCAATGAATATTCAACAGCTTTGTCCAGATTTCACTAAAGGAAAGGAATTTTGACTTTCAAGGTGTCTTTCTATCACCTGATAAATAGACCTAAAAATAAATCCAGTGATTTGGCTTTTTTTGGCCAGAATACAGTGTCTTTTTTTAACTGATTTCCTGAGAAAAAGGAACATTGGCCGGAAACGGAAATAATCTTTCAAAATACCTTTCCAGATTAAAAGAAGAAGTATGGGTTTTAGCAGAATTCACATCTAAAGGTAGCATTTTAGTTGGGGGAGAAAAAGATGAATTGGCAATTTCCCTTGGAAGCTCTTGGGGAGAGCTGATAACGGCGTAGGAAGATGCACGCCTGCCGCAGTGACTGCATGAAAACGTCCGCACGTGTTACAGCTACCACTTCTGACACTGATGGCTGGTCCAAGCCCCAACACCAAAGAGACAAAAAAGTCTCTTATTAACTTCAGCGTGCTGTAGATTAGGCCTTCTTTAATTGGAACCTGCTGAAGCGTGGTCCTTTTACTACCTCCCTTTGAAAAGCCGTCTTTATGGATTTTGGGGGCAATAAAAAGGAAAGGGGTTTTTTGTGGGTGTAGTCAGCACTTTCCGTGACG